TTTTTACCTTGTACTGATCTTCTTTTGGCTAGATGACAAACCAATCCGCTTTAGTGATGATCTTGGCCTTATTTCAACTAGTCTATGATTTTGCTGAACGCACTTGCTTTTGGATTAGTACATATAAGATTTTTACAAGTAAAAATCCTACCTTTGTCTATATCCAATAAGTAATCTACATATCTGATTTTACCAGCTATAGACATTATGCAGTATATATTGGATGTACATGGATAGTTGGTGAATGCTTGATTCTTTATCTGATGGATGACTTAATCGGATCAAGATACCACTATAAAGGAAAAGCCAACTATGTAAATATATCCGATGAAATTATATATCCGAATAACACCAAGTAGTCAAATGATATCAATAGATTGGATATCCGATGAATAGGACTTCATTGAATATGAACCTAGTAAACAAGAAAAACAAGAATGTTTCTTTTGTAATTCTTTTGGTCAGATGTCTATTTGTATTATATACACATCGTTTAATTCGGGAAAAGAGGTAAACTTAGTCCAAGGTACATTGGGCTATTCAGAATATGTAAACGGGTTGGTTCAGTAGCATATCAATTGGAGTTTCCTGAGGAACTCAATGTTATTCACAACATTTTCCATGTCTCTAACCTTAAAAAAAAGGGTTTAGCTGATCCGAATTGGCAGTACCGCTACCTGAGATGCAAGTTGATAGTAAGTTAAATTTTGTGGAAACCCTTGAGACCGTCATTAACCGGAAGACAAAGGTTTTAAGAAATAAAGAAATCAGTCTTGTGAAAGTACAGTGGCGTTTTCATAAGGATCAGGAAGCTATGTGGAAACTAGAATCGAAAATGAGATCAAAATATCCTCAGCTGTTTAATTTAATGAATTCCAGGACGTAATTCTTTTGAGGGGAGGATAATGTGGTAACTGGGTTATAATCGGGTATTCGGTTATAAAAGTTCAGGGTTGTTTTTGAAAAAGGGTGGTAGTTGAGGGATTTATTTTGTTAAATTGTTTATAGTAATTTAGCTATAGACAAAGTTGGTAAGAAGCCAATTTTTGTGTATGTGTGTGTGCTGGGAGCCGAGAAAAAGAGAAACCATAAGGAAAGAAAGAAAGAAGTTGATTCTATGATTTTTATCTGAGTAATTGTTGCTATTTATTTGCATCTCTATGAATCAAGGTGAGTTTTATTTTGAAAACATCATTTGTCATGTTTTGAGTAAAGAAACCGTAAGGTTCCATACGTGGATACATGATGTGTATATGTTATTGTTAGCATAAATTTTGGGTTTTGATACGATGTTATCATCTGATTTTAATAAGGATGACATAATAATGAGATGTGTATTTTTGATAATAAGGGTGGTATAATCAGAAGCTGGGTATATCTCTGTAATAAGGGTGGCATAATCAGGAGCTAGGTATATTTTGATAAAGATAGTATAATCAAATTATGGAAATGATGATCTTTTGATTATGAGATTCTGTTATCGCATTTATATGATGCGATAAGTGTGATTATTACCGCATAGGATGGTGTGATGAGATTGGATGTGATTCAAATTGTCATTTTTATCGCATCAATGAGATGCGACAAATTAGGTTTGTCGCACTAGTATGATGCGAGGAGTTACTGTTATCATATTTGTTGGATGCGACAAGGTTGGTTATCACATATTTGAGGTGCAACAGGTATGGGTGTAAACGACACGAGACAACTCGCGAGCTACTCAAGATCGCTCGGTCAACACTCGACTCGGATAGGTTCGGCTCAAACTCGAACACGACTCGATATAGTAACGAGTCGAGTCGAGCTACGCAATACTCGACTCCAAAAGCTTGTGAGGTACTAGATTTTTTTATCTATAATTAGTTTTAAAAATATAACCAATTTTATAATATGATATGTATAATATAATGTAATAAAGATGTTATGTTTTTATATATTTGAATAATATTGTGTTTTTTTAACTATAAAAACTAATCAATATTTTTTTTAAATCATAATTAAAAAAAGGCAAAAAAGAACTATAGAAGTGTTGGTGAAGTTGTCCCACATTGGAAAAAAGATAGTAAAAGAATGATGAAGAGGTGTTATAAAAAGAAAGGGAGGTGAATGAAGTTTGTAACTTTGCTTATTTGATGATGAAGTTTGAGGTGGATCACTTTAGTTTTTTAAAATTTAAAGGAACACATTTTAAGTTTTATAATTTATAAGAGAATACCCTACAATTTCATTAATTTCGATGGGTGAACTTGATTCGAGTTCGACTTCGAGCTTGATTCGAGTAGGAGCTCGAGCTTTAAACGAGTTGAGTTTAAAAAATTGCAATCGAGTTCGAGTTGAGTTTAGTTTTTAACTACTCGCTAGTTTTCGAGTCGAGTTCGAGCTTAAGAAATGGTTATCGAGTTCGAGTTGAGTATAATGATACTCGAGCTCGACTCAATCATTTACACCCCTAGCGACAAGTGTGGGTTATCGTGTGTGTGTGATGCGACAAGTTACTGTTATCGCATCTGTTGGATGCAACAACTTTATTATTTATTTATTTAAATGCGACAAGTTTACATGTGATGCGATAAATGAGTTATTTTATTGTTTGATGCGATAAGTGGGTGTTGCCTCATCATCTTGATGCGATAAAAAAAAGTTTGTTCAATAAAACGTTGCTTATTTGTTATTTATACAAATATGGATTTTGTAAAAGTGTTTTGGTGATTTTCACTCTGTAATAGGATCAAAGGGATTTCTCACTAGACCTTATGGTCTAACCCTCAATTTGTGTTTTAAAATATGCATTACCGGTCGAGCACAATCAAATAATAAAGGAAATGGGAAAATGTAAAAAGGATCATGATTGCATCACATATGTGGAATATTTGGAAGATGTTATGATATTTGTACTTGAGAACTTGTTATGTTTACAAGTCTTGAACTGGGTTTATATTAAAAAAATATTGTAGCTACTTTATAATGTAGCAAGTTGTATAGTTAGAACCAATGTGTATATTTGAATCTCTTGTTAAATGAAATATGTAGGTTATATGCAACTGTAAATTGGGGTGTTACAAGTTTTGATGTGATAATAATTTGATATATTGTGATCGATAAGTATATTATTTGTATGTAGTTTTAAGGATAAGGAAGTCACTGATATTGCAGATAAATATAAAAAATCATATGATTATTCTTAATTATTTTCTTTTAATTTAGATTATGGGTTAAATAATTTAGAAGCTCAGAAATATTCTTGCATTTTCGTAAAACAAGGGTATTTTCGTTTTAAAGTCCTCCCTATATATAGGACGGTGGTCATATGAGAACTATAAGGTTGAGGACCGTGGGGACTAATCTCAATCATTAAAGCGTTTTAATCAAAGGTTGTTAAACATAGTGGCTTTTTTGTAATATTAGTGAAAGTTGTGTCTAATCTTACATCTAATTTAAAAATGGAAGGGCATATTATGATTTTTATTACAACCCACCTTCTTTGACTTTCTACTCCATTGTTGAATCATTTCTACACTCAATTCATCAAAATCCATATCATCTGTTTCTTCACTTATCTCTTCAACTCCCCCCTCTCCGGGCCTCCCCTGCCAACTTGTTCAACGATGACGAAATCCCATCGTCGCTGTCCGTTTTTCAACGATTTCCACCACCACCCTATCATCATCTGCCATCAGACTCCGTCCTCCCTTCTGGTCTCCCCCTCATTTTCGTCGCTCATCTTTGCTAACCAATCGTCCCTATAAAAACAACTCATCATATAGTGTGATAAGCCGTTTTTGCAGGCGAACCCATTCCTGCAACTTTGAAACCAATCGTTCATTGCCGAGACCCCCTCCACTCTCCTCGGATCTGGTTCCTTCTTCTTGCGGTTTTTGAATATGTTTTAGGGTTTGGTTTACAAATTGATTGGTTCGGTTTACAGATTGTATATTGGTTCCACTGGACCTCGGTTTACATGAGTTGTGTGTGCTGATTGGTTTCGAATATTTGTATGGGGGCCGAATTTGGATGGTTATTGGTGATCTCCTATGAGTTCAAATTCTTACATGTAATTTTTGGTGGATCCGGTAGGTTTGGATCTACCTCACAAAAACTATGATCCCGGTGAGTTCTTTTTGCCAAATTTTCAAGAAGCTGATAAACTTCAAGGGTGTTAATGAAGGCGGTCAGGGAGTCCTTGTCCATCGGTGATTATGAAATCGGATATGGATCGACGATTATAGACATAAATTGTATTTGATTTCATTAGGTGAAGTAGATTATAGATGAAATTTGTATTTGATTTCATGGGTGAATTAAGATATACATGAACACTATGATTGAATTTCATCAGGTGAAATAACATATTTATGGAAATTGTGGTTTATTTAATGAGGTGAAATAAGGTTAACATGGGTTTCATCTGTGAATGAATATGTATGTTTCATCTCGAGTGAATCTTGTTACCAAAATGACGATTATGCCATTTTTTTTAATTAAACCCTGCTTTCCATTATAACCATATGATTAAAACCAAATTAAGGCTTAGATCGATCCTTATAATTCTCAACATTTTTATGGTCCTTAATTGATTTAACACTTATATATATATAACTATAAAAATACAAAAATGCATCTAATTTAACTAAGTTTTCTTTGATAAAATTGGTTAAAAATACGAAAAGAAAAACCGAATACAAACACAATCATCATCAATACAATAAATGGAGTTTTAAGGACAAAAGTTGAAGTTTCAAAATACCAGAAGGACCAAAATTGTAATTTAGTCTAATAAAAATCTATCCCTATTTTCTTTTTAACTAAGAAATCAACTCAAATATTTGTGTTAGGTGTCTCTAAAACATTAGTTTCCTTATTGAGGGGGTTTCCTGTGTTCTCCTTCCTCATCCTCCACTTGTTCCCTCCATCTGTTCCTTCTTCAAAATATCTCCACCACCCTATAAATGGCGATGCTTCGACACTACTCTTTGATCCTCCAACATATCTGATATCATCGAATGTCTATTACTCCTCCAAGAACAGTGGGCAGATCCAACAACAACGTCAGATCATTCGAAAACTTCCTCCAAGGATGGTTGGTTCGTCAAGAACATTATTTGGAAGAACTCCGATGCACACTCTCAACGTCCCACCAATCAAAAGACGAAGATCTTCGAGATTTGATCTCTCGTGTGCTTTTCCATTACCAACAATACTACGAGGAGAAATCCCGAATCGCTAAGCACGATGTTTTTCTGGTTTTCTCTCCGCCCTGGTTCTCCCCTTTTGAACGGAGTTTTTTCTGGATCGCCGGTGTGAAACCGGGACTAGCGTTTCGGGTGGTCGGTAGTTCGGTGGAGGATATGAGTGAGGAGCAGGTTGAGAGGATGGAGAAATTGAAGGCGGAGACGAGGGCGGAGGAGAAGGAGTTGGGTGATGAATTGGCGAGGATTCAGGAGGGTCTGGCGGCGCCACCTGTATTTGAGGTGGCGAGGAGGGTGGCGGTGGAGGAGGAGTGTGGTGAGATGGATTCGGTGATGGAGACTTTGAGGGTGGAGATGGAGTCGGTGTTGGCGAATGCGGATATGCTGAGGACACGGACGGCGGAGAAGGTGGCGAAGATATTGACGGCGGTGCAGGATGTGAAGTTCTTGGCGGCGTTGACGGAGTTGCAACTCAAAATTAGGATGTGGGGGTCCCACTTGAGTCGGTGAGATGGCAATAAAAGTGCCTCTTTCCAAGTCTCCTTTTTTTAGAAATTTATATTTTTTTTCCTATGATTTTTAAGAAAATGCAGGTTTCATCCTCGTAGTTTTGAAATGGTGGTTTTTGATAGGGAAATTGGCTAAAATAGCCATTGCTCACTCCTGAATCAGTCTCCTGGCCATTTTTCTCCCTAATTTACGTAAATGTCACTACGTTCGTAAGTGTAACGTTTGTCGCTTGCAGACCTAACTAAAAGACGAAAACGGATCAAATTGTAGATCTGGTCGTCGTAATTGTGAATTTGGGTAAAATCCGATAAAAATTGTCTTTTAACTAGGTTCACAAGTGAAGGACGTGAAACCTACGAACATAGTGATATTTTAGGTAAATTGAAGAATTGGCTAGAAGACCAATTTATGTGTGAGAAACGGCTATTTTGGCCAAAAAAATTGATACTTGTGCTTTGTGATTTTATTGTTATTTTAGTCCTTCAATATAACTCCAATGTTTATGTATCAGGGATTAAAATAATAATGGATTATAAATCACATAAATGAAAAAGACTATATTTAATCTATATCGACGAAAATAATAATCGTAATATAAAATCACATCAATGAAAATTACAATTTTTGACAAATCATAGGAACAAGAATGTAAATTACTCTATGATTATGTTTATTACTAATTGTGTACCCGCACAATGCGATGAGAGCCGTGAATTTTAACAATTTTGAAGCTTCAGTGGTTTTGTTAGAGAAGATTTTAACAATGATATAACTTACACTTGGTCTTTACATATTAATACATTTTAAATAAATAAGAGTTATGGTTTCAATTACAATTTATCGATGAAAAAATTGTAGGACAATTTAAAATCCAATATATTTAAACCAATCCAACATAATATAAATATCTATTGAAGTATAAAAAAATTAATTTGAATTTTGCATCTTGAATTAGGAATATGGTTAAAATGTTTTGATGATTGTTCAAATAGAAAGCAAACCAATTTAATCATATGAGATTGATTGACTGTGCAATTTTAGTTGGATAAACAACTGATATACAATAAACAGTTGAATTAGATCAACTCCTTTTAAGGGTCCGCTAATTAAACATTTACCTGCTAAATGATTACTGAAGTATTTACCTACTGAATGAACATGACAAGTACCGAGAATCTAATTCGACAAAAACAACGATAAAGATGGACAATATTACTCGATAACTCAACCTATTACACTCCTTTCATAACTCAATTTGGTATAACATAACACTATTTAGGTAAACGACTCCACATATGTGTTTTTTGATGTTTAATCCATTAAAAAAATAAAATAACACCTAAAAGTTTAAAGATAAATCGTTCAATACCAACAAGCAGTCAACAAGTCACCCCTCTCATCGAGCTTTCAAGAAGCTTTATCGGTTAAAACTTGAAATTTCTGAGAAGCGGTATACATAGCGTTTGAAATGGAAACTTCCACACGAACAAACCATTGGTTCTCATAACAGATGCCGCCTACATATTTTAGGTGTAGGACCAAACATATTTTTCAGAAAATACGAATGTATTTTAAATCTGATATTTTCAACTTCTAGACATAAAAAATAGAGATTTAAGAGCTAAACCTATTAAAGTTACACATTTTTACCTTGGATGCTTGAACTTCAAGATCATTGTTAAAATATGTATTATTTTGCAATCTTACCTTTAGTTTCTTGTTTTCTATTTGAGGGGCTATATATGTCAAGGCTTAAAACTTGAAATCTGGAGATCTAAGGTGGAGGACCGCGCCTCATTTTTTGGGAAACTTCAAGGGTAACGGAGCTTATGGTCAAAATGTTGAAGGACTATTACTGTCATTTCTCAATTCATATTTATAGGCTTTTGAAAGATGATTTTCATTCATTCAGTTTTATTTTCAATCTTCTCATACATTACTTTCTCTCTCTAGCTCTAGTAATTCTCATAAATGCTTAAGTTTTGATTCTTATGTAGTTAGGGTTATTCGTTCATTTGTTTGTAATATTGTGAACAAACATTTTATGAATGTAATGTTTAAAGTTTTGAACATGGTATCAGAGCAACATTACGGAATCTGTGGTTATTGAATCTGTGAACGTCTTTCGTTCATTAGTGTTCTTGGCTTCAAAGATCCTCTCAGGTATGTTCTTCTTCTCTTCTAAATCGGTTGCCATTTATGTTTTACTTTTTCTTGAGTAAATGCTCACTTCATCGGTTTGGTTTCGAAGATCTTCTTAGATCTCGTTCTTTCTTCCAACTGTGGCTGATATACTCTTGTTGAGATTTTAGATCTGTTGTGGTTAATAGTGTTACCTTTTCTTGAGTAAATGCTCATTTCATCGTTTTGGTTTTGAATATCTTCTTAGATCTCGTGTTTCTTCCAACCGTGGCTGATATACCGTTGTTGAGGTTGTGGTTAACAGTTTTACTTTTTCTTGAGTAAATGCTCAGTTCATCGGTTTGGTTTCAAAGATATTTTTAGATCTCATGTTTCTTCCAACCATGACTAATATACTTCCTGTTGTGGTTCTGTTGTTCCTTTTTTTTCCTGAGTAAATGCTTAGTTCTTCGGTTTGGATTTGAGAATCTTCTTATATTTCATTTTTTTCGACCATGGCTGATATACTCTTGTTGTGATTAGATTTGATTTGGTTAGCTATTTTGTTGTTCTTCTTGTGAGTAAATGCTCGGTTCCTTTGGTCTGGTTGCAACGATCTGCTTAGATCTGGCTCATCAGTCAAAACCGAAATACTCCTTTAAATCATTTTGGTCTTAAAATATTTTTAGATCTGGTTGTGTTCTTGGACCTGTTTTGATCCCGTTTAACTCAAAAAAAATTAGATCTGGTAGATATGTCTGTGTGCTAGGATCTGTTTTGATCCCATTTATTTTGGGAATATTTTTACAGCTTAAATTTTGAGATCTTCTAGATCTCGGTTCTTGTGTTCCCTTTTCTTTCTACTAGTTATTGTTGTGTTTGTCTTATTTGTTCGCCTCAACCGAGTAAATGCGTAATAAGCATTAGGATTAACATATCTTGTTGATCTATCTTGTCCTTTTCTTGCTACTATACTTGGTCCTATTGTTTGTTATAGTTGTTGTGTGTGCGTCTTTACATTCCTATCTTCCCAGATCTGTGTTGTTCCAGGTTGGAGTTATTACTATTTGTTCATGTTTTATTCCTGGCCAATTGCATGCTTCTCATATTCTCTTTCTTTTAACGCTTTATTAAAAAGGCTTTGCGATTCTGGTTGTTTCTCTCTTCTCCCTTCTCTTGTTCTTTATTGTGCTATCTGTGGTTATTTTTTTTCTTTTCTTGGTTCTGTTTGTCTGTTTCTTGAGGTTCTGGTGTGTTCTCTTTCTTTAGTGCTTTGTTCTTTAGAGCTGAATAGTTAGCTTGACCTAACACCTCGAGTGTTTTAGGAATTCTGCTTCTATCTGTTTAGTCTCTTCTTTGTGTTTATGTCTATTTCTGAGGTTGACACTGGTAGGTCAATGGAATCCAAGGTCACTAGTTTGGACTTTGGAGACCCATTGTACCTTCATCCTAGTGATACCAGTGGATCCCTTTTGTTGAATTTAAAACTTAGTGGTACCGAAAACTATAAAGTGTGGGCTTGTGCCATGATATTGGCTTTAGAAACCAAAAACAAAATTTGCTTTATTGATGGGTCTTGTCCTCGACCAATAAACGATCCCGTCTTAGGAAGACAATAGGATCGATGTAACTCAGTTGTCCTCTCCTGGATTCTGAGTTCTATAATCGAGGACCTCTTTTTAGGACAAGCGTTTTCCAAAGAGGCCTCTAAGGTTTGGGATGAATTATGATAAAGTTGATGGATCTGTCATGTTTAACTTGTATCAGAAAATTAATTGCTTAAGCCAAAATGGGACTTTTGTTTCTGAGTACTATCATAAACTCAATTCTTTATGGAAACATTTTGATGCCCTTGTCAAGCTACCCTCATGCACTTGTAATTCTTCTCAAGAGTTTTTTGAACACACCAAACTTATTAAGCTCATGCAATTTTTGATGGGTCTTGATGACACATATCAACCCATTAGAAGTAATATCCTTACTAGTGATCCCCTTCCCTCTATTAAAACTGCTTTTTCTTTGGTTTCAAGAGAAGAGTCTCACTGAGGGGGAAACATGTCTCAATCTAAATCTAGACCTCAAAATGATGCCTTTTTCAGTAAGACCAATGACAATAGATGTCGGATGGGTAGAGTTAATTCCCTAAGTTGTAAACACTGTCGGGTTTCTGGACATACTATCGAGAGGTGTTTTAAGTTGATTGGGTTCCCTAGTAACTTTCAAAATCTACCCAGACCTCAAAATCAATCTCTTAAAGGTTTTGTTAATAATGTCTGTGGTTCTAAATCAACATTTTCTAAATCAAATTCTACTTGTTGCCTCTAACTTTTCCTTTCCCTTTTCTAAAGACCAGATTGCTAAGATTCTTGGTCTAATTAAGCAAAATAAATCATCTGAGGCTGCCGTTGCTAATATGGCAGGTAACTTTAACTCTCTTAGATCAGGTTGGATTATTGATTTTGGTGCAAACCAACATATGACTTACAATAATGTTTTTTCTTAAAAATATTGTTGACATATCTGATCTTGATCTTAGAGTTAGTCATTCTAATGGAACTAAAGCTAAGATAAAGAAAATTGGGGATTTCAAATTATCTAATAATGTCACTTTATTTGATATGTTGGTTGTCCCAGACTTCAATGTCAACTTGATGTATGTTCATAAACTTGCTAGAGATAACAAGGTGTTTGTGGAATTTGACGAGTCTAAATGCTATGTCTAGGATTCTATACGAAGGAGTGTAGTGGGGACTGGTAGTCAAGAAGGGCCCTGTATTATTTTAATCAAAATTTAAATTGTGAGTCTAATCATAATAACTCATAAAGCATGAATATGTCATGTTTAGTTTATGCCCAGTTATGGCACAGTCGTCTTAGTCATCCTGTTAATCAGGTTTTAAATGTTTTAAAACATAGTCTCAAGATTGATAATGATAACAGTGGCCCTTGTGAAATCTGCCATAAGGCAAAACAGACTTGACAAAAGTTTGAGTCCAGTGTCCATAAGTCCAAAGATCTAGGTGAACTTGTTCACTTAGATGTTTGGGCACCCTATCGGGTTTAAATTAGGGAAGGCTACAAATATTTTCTTACTGTTGTCGATGATTTCACCGTGTTGTTTGGGTGTTCCTGTTAAGGGGTAAACATGAAGTTGTAGATAGTGTTATCACATTTTATAACTTACTTACTTACTAATCAATTTGGCAAGAATGTTAAAGTGTTTAAAAGTGATAATGGTGTTGAATTCTTATGTCAAAATTTAAGTGAATTTTTTAATGTTATACATCAAACTTCGTGTGTCTATATACGCCAACATAATAGGGTTGTTGAAAGAAAACATCGTCATTTGTTGAACGTTACTAGGGCTCTTATGTTTCAGGGAGGTCTTCCCTTAAACATGTGGAGTGAGTGCATTCTCACAGCTACCTACTTGATAAATAGGACTCCCTCTTCTGTGCTAAATGGTAAATGTCCTTACGAGCTTGTTTACGGATTCAAACCTGTTCTCACTCATCTTAGGAGCTTTGGGTGTCTTTCTTTTGTTGTCATACCCAATGCTTTAGATAAGTTTTCTCCCATATTTGTTTTATTAGGGTATGCAAGTTCATAAAAAGGATACAAACTTTTTAATTTAGAGTCTAGAAAGTATGGTATTTCACGTGATGTCAAATTTTATAAACATGTTTTTCCTTTTAAGATGACTGTGAACAGGTTGATGGTAATCATAATGATGATGTTAATAGACTAAATTTCTTGATTTTATGAATGATACATCTAATGATATTGTGGATTCACTACCCCATGATGATAATGGAGACAATATTGGTGATAATACAAGTAATCATTCTAATTATAGCCCTAATAATAGAAGAACTTTAGGTAGCCAAAACAGAGTTGCCAATGAGGAGCCTCTAGGCAGCTCAAATGAACATCCTAATCAAGAATCTTCAACTAATGTTGAAGATAATCTTGAAAGAGTTACCAAATGGCAACTCGTGCGTAGCTCAGATGAGGCTGCCAGTTCTCAAAGACATGATGAAAGTCTCTTTCCTGAGGGTACTCAAAGTACACCTTCTACTTCAGGTCAACCTAGTAAAAGGTCTACTAGAATTCCAGTGTTTCCACAAAAATTTAATGACTTTGTTATTGAAGTTAAAGTCAAATATGGATTAGAAAAACTCGTTAATTATTCATGTCTTTCTTCTGCAAACTTATGCTTTGTATCTAGTTTAAACAAATCTGTTGAACCTAAGAATTTTCGTGAAGCTTGTACAGATATAAATGGGATAAATGCTATGAATGATGAAATGGAAGCTTTACATAGAAATAATATTTGGGTTATAACGGACTTGCATAAAGGTAGAAAACCTATAGGCTGCAAATGGATATATAAAATAAAAAACAAATCTAATGAGGAAATAGAAAAATACAAAGCTAGACTTGTTGCTAAAGGATACAGTCAGAGAGAAGGTCTAGACTATGATGAGACATTCTCTCCAGTTGTTAAAAATGGTAATTGTTCGTTGCATTAGATCTTTAGCTATTAAAAATAAATGGACTTTATATCAACTAGATGTTAATAATGCTTTCTTATATGGTGATTTAGTTGAAGAAGTTTACATGAGCTTGCCTGAAGGTTATTATAATGCAAATGATAAATATGTTTGTAAACTTGTTAAATCTTTATATGGTTTAAAACAAGCTTCACATTAGTGGTATGCTAAACTTTCATCTTGTCTAATTGAACACGTGTTTATTCAAAGTATTAATGATTATTCCTTGTTTACTAAGAAAAATGAATATGTTTTCCTTGTCTTGTTGGTTTATGTTGATGATTGTTGTTACTGGGAATGATCAATTAGAAATTGATAAAGTCAAAATTTTAAAAAAGTAAATTTCTAATAAAAGATTTGGGAAAGTTGAAATTATTTCTAGGTATTGAAATTTTAGACTGTATAAATGGAATCTGTATGACTCAAAGAAAGTATTGTTTAGAACTGCTTAATGAATTTGGGTATTAAGGGTGCAAACCTTGCAATACTCCAATGGATAAAAATTTAGTTGTATCTGACTCTAGTAATAACAAGGATTCTTCTTTGTCTAATTATACTGGATATCAAAAATTGATTGGTATTGATATATCTACCTGCTACTAGACCAAATATTGCCTTCACGGTTCATTGTTTGAGTCAATATATGCATTTTCCTAAACAGTCTCATTTAAATCTTGATCTTAGAGTTCTTAGATACCTAAAGTTGTGTCTTGGTAAAGGTGTTAGCTTTACCAGATCTGATCGGTTTTCTTTAACTGCCTTTGTTGATGCTGATTGGGGTAAGTGCCTCTCTTCTAGACGTTCAGTTACTTGGTTTTGTTTGTTTTTGGGGAACTCTATGATATCTTGGAAAAGCAAGAAACATAGTACTATTTCTCGTTCTTCTGTAGAATCTGAATACAGAGCAATAGCCTCTGTTGCTTGTGAAGTATTATGGGTTCTAAAAGTTCTAAAGGATTTAAATATTTCAGAATTGTTACCTGTCTTAGTGTTCTATGATAACAAATATGCAATTCAAATTGCTAATAACCCTGTTTTTCATGAGTGTACTAAACATATTGAAATAGATGTCCATCAAATTAGAGATAACATCAGTAAAGGTTTGATAAAAATTGTTAAAATTTTATCTTCTGAATATCTTGCCTATATCTTTACAAAAGCTCTTGGTATAAATCATCATAATTACTTGTGTTCTAAATTACAAATGATTGATTTATTCAAAAGTCAAGATGAGGGAGGGTGTTAAAATATGTATTATTTTGCAATCATAACTTTTGTTTCTTGTTTTCTATTTGAGGGACTATATTTGTCAAGGCTTAAAAGTTGAAATCTGGAGATCTAAGGTGGAGGACCGCGCCTCATTTTTTGGGAAACTTCAAGGGTAGAAGAGCTTATGGTCAAAATGTTGAAGGATTATTACTGTCATTTCTCAATGAATATTTATAGGCTTTTGAAAGCTGATTTTCATTCATTCAATTTTATTTTCAATCTTCTTATACATTACTTTCTCTCTCTAACTCTAGTAATTCTCATAGTTGTTTTAGCTTTGATTCTTATATAGTTAGGATTATTTGTTCATTATTTGTAATTTGTGAATAAACATTTTATGAATGTAATGTTTAAAGTTTTGAACAATCATCAATATTGATCTCACTTAAAACTGGTCTCAGTGTACACATCAAGAACAAATATGATTTCTCAAAGCTAAATTGTGTGCATGCATGTTACATACATCTAAAAAGATGCAAAAAGTCAGTATCAATTTGATAAAATAATAGGATGCAAAAATAAAGATTATTTTAATTAAACAACTAAAGGTGTATTCTTTTTAATCCTTACCCCAGTTTTCTCTTTCACTTCTCTCGCAGCTCCGGTGAAAATCTTCTTTGACTGGTTAAGGAAAAAATGTTATCATTTAATAAAAAATATACCTATCCACACAATCAAGAAGAAAATTACCTCTAATCAGAAGAAAGCAAGTAGAAGTTTACCTGTGAATTTGACAAGAAAACAAGAGAATCTAAAAGGAATGTTGAACTGAGACCAGGGATTGTCAAGTAAGGTGATTGTAAAACAAAAGGTCTGATCCAAATTGTTTATCTGCTCAGGAAAGATGAACCCACCGATATTGTTATCATTATTCTTAAGTGGCTCAGATACTGAACTTGAATCAATCCCATAACCCAAAATAGCCGAGAAAAAGATCGAGATCGAGGGCTAGGGCTAGGAGGCATCCAATCTCCATTTATCCCAGCATCAAACCTCCTTCAGCTAGCAATAACTTCAACCGAAACATAAATTTTAGCGCTTTTAGTAATCTTGGAAAAAAGATGGTAAGAATGTAACTCACATATCACAAATTTTAACCCTTTTCGCGGAAAAAAAACCCCAGACTAGAAAAGACTGAAGCAAACAAAAAATCTTTGGCTCATCCACTTTAACAAAGTGGGTAGACCAGAACTCTTTTGGTTCTAGAAAACTATGATAATGAATGGAAATGAAAGAGAAATATTGCTCAAAACATTAGATTATGCCCAATTTTGAAAGATATAGTCGATAAATAAGGAGACTTTATTATAATTAAAGATGTCTAAGAAACCCGAAGAGCCATATCAGGTAAGACATAAATGGTAGTATAAAAAAGGTAAACTGGTATAAAGATGATGAAGAAAGAAAGAGAAACCCAATTGAATTGAAGGGTTGCGATTGCACAAACCTAGTAACAACAACACAAGACAGTGAAGGGTAAATTGATAACAAAGGATAAGTCTCCAGGACCAAAACCCAAAAGGTTTTGAGAGCTAATGGCATATGGAGATGTACAACAAATTGTTTTGAACAAAACCCTAAATCGACACCCTTGCCTCAAGAACATGAATCGACTCCTTGAGAATTTAATCGGTACCTTGAAAACCCAAACTGCTCAACCGAGGAGTGTTGAGATTATAACAATGTTGGTAGAAGTTGTACAGAAAGCTCAAAATCTTGTAATTAAGAGATTTTAGGACTTATGCATAAATTAACATTATAATGCAACAAAAGTTGTTTTTAAGATTTAACAAATATATTTTATTTGATAGCATAGATAAATAAACTTGATTTTATGATTATAAATAAAATACAATAAAAAATTTCGACGTAAAAAGAAGCAATATGCTAACATTTGACGTGAGTTCATGAGAATTTGATATATTTGAAGAGGGAGGTAAGTGTGTGAAAGGAGAAAAAAATGAATTTGAAATCAATTGTCAATAAATATCAATATAATATATTAAAGAAGAAACCAACCAAATAATATAAAATATATAACCATGGTTGAAATAAAAACCAACCAGATAATACAAAATAGGGAGATGAGTATATAAAAAGAGTTGGATGGCTTTCAAAACTAAAAAAGTTATGCAACTATAAGCTAACGTCTATTTGGCCAACCATATTTTATATAAAAAAGAAATTATATACCAAAAGTTAATATAAAACGTAGCTTAAAGTTGACGATAAACCAAAATCATTAAAATTGGTAGAAATTATAATTGTAAAATCTAAATCTATATCTTTACATCTTCGATATATATTAAAATAACAACCAAAAGAAGTGATGTAGCTAACATGGTTAGTGTTGATACTCGGTCTGTTGAGAAACCACCACGACTCTACTCTTGATGGAAAACAAAATCACCCGTTTTGTGAACAGTTCTAAGTATTTTCATTACTTGTTTAGGAGGACCATATGTTCCCATGAACTTTATTTAATTATCTCGATAAATGAGTTAAAAGATCATGATATTGTCCTCAGAGACAAAGATCTACTTGTTAAATTCCTTAGAGGTCTACCCCCTATTTGGTACAATATTGCCACACTCCTTAAAGATTCAAAGGATCTGAAAGAAATGTCTTTACAAGATTTATATGGTCATCTAATGACTCATGAACCTGAGTTGAATCAAAATTCAGGGAAAGCCAAGGATAAAAATTCATATCTTGCACTTATTGTTGGGTCTAGATTAGCCCCAAGATTGAAAGTTTTTTAAAGTCATGTAGTGTATTGTAATTGGGCTTTGGGCATTGGGCATTGGGCTTTCATGTTTGTATTGACACCTATAAATAGGTGTCTTTGGTTTTAGAATTCAAATTATGAGAGTCTTATGAGAGTCGATTAGTGAGAAATTGCTTTGTAAGTTTTCTTTCAATAAAAACAGGCATGTACATTCTGTGTTCTTTATTGCAATTTATATTGAGTATTGATTCAATCTTGATTTGTTGTTTAATTTGGGATCTACATGTGGTATCATAGCAGAATCAAACAATCTTTATTCGATATGATCATCTTTTGCAGCAAAATTCAAGTTTCGAATATTTTTAATGGAACAGTACACGTGAATGAACAATTTCCATATTCGATGTTTTGAGCTTTTTTTTAATCAAATTCTTGGTGTTTTTGGATGTTTTAATCCAATTTGGGCTTAAAGATTTATCTATTTATGTTTTTGAACATGTTATGATCATCAATTGGGGCTTTATTTGAACAAATCTTGGATTTTGATGGATTTTTAGTTGAATTGTTTAAGCAGAACCGCTAGATCCGTGAAAATCGCTCAATAATATTGCATTGAGAGATATTCATCAAGAACATCGCCCAATGAAGATTTGAAGGTTGTTATGAGCGATATTTGGTAAGATATCGCCCATTAAAGATGATGGTGTACTTGGCTATTTTGATATTGTTTTGAGCGATATTTGAACTTAGGTGATATTTGATGTTTTTGAGCGATATTTGAAGATACCACCCAAGAAGTGAGCGATATTTGTATAAACCGCCTAAGAAATGAGCGGTATTCGAGAACACTGCTCAAGTTATGAACAATATCCGTGTTATGCTTTGAAGTTTAAAAATCACCCAAGTATCAAGCGATATCCTTGATGAGCGATATCCGTGTTATGCTTTGAAGTTTAAAAATCGCCCAAGTATCAAGCGATATCCTTGATGAGCGGTATCCTTGCTAAGCAGTTATATTTGATGAGTGATATTCTCATATCAAGTAGTTTGCCTATGTCACTTAAGCATCAAGTGATTTATGTGTTGAACGATATCTTACATCAAGCGATATTCGAGTATACAGCTCAAGCCTCAAGTGATGTTTATATTGAGCGATATTCTAAAAGTGAAGTATATCGCCCAAGGCATAGGCGATATACACTGTTCATTGAGGAATCCGCCTAAGGAGTGGGCGATTTCATTCCTATCATTAGAATATCGCACACCTCTACGAGCTGTTACTGTTCATGACCTCATTGTGTGTATTTTGATCTTTTCCCAAGACTGCCCTGTATAATATTGTTTGGTGTTCTCTATTCAATATTTTTCCCTTCAAGAAGCATCATCAACATTTTGTCAACAGTTGACTTTTTGAAGTCAAAGTTTGACTATTTAGTCAAATTTACCAAGTCTGTACTTTAAAGAGCTGGATTTGAAAATTTTCAGAATTGGGTGATTGGATTCAATATTTGATTGGAGTGGTTAGAAGTTTGAGTATTTGCAATCATTACTCTGAAGTTTTTCGTAAGAAGCAAGACGGTACTTCCAATCACTGTTTTGATCTGATCAATCAGAATTTTGAAGGTTTACAATCATTGTTCTAGAGTTTTTGGAGTTACTAGATCTTTGAGTGTTCTCAATCATTTATCTAACCTGATTAATTAGAGGTTTGAATGATTACAATAATTGTTCTGGAGGTATGGTTATGATTTAGAGTTTTGAGTGCTGATAATCATCCGTCTGAATGAGAATTTTGGATCTAGGTTTTGGTTATTCAGTTTTCTGAAAGTATGGAAAAAATCGGCTTATCTTTCTTGGTTGACAGCTGTTGATCAAGAAGCTATGTTCTTAATGTTGTTTCTCTACGAATTTCATTGTTAAAAGGTGTTTGCTCTGGTTATTCAAGATGATATTGGAATCCCACTTTTTTTAGCTTATCAATACAAGTTCTTAAGCTAAAAGCCTATTCAACTCGTGCTTCAAAGAAAGAATCTTTGTTACTAGACCGATTATGCACAATGGAATGTCACGTAACTCACATTATCTACCCCGTTGTTGGATGAATCAATATGCTTGTGGGTCGGCTGAGATTCTGAGGTTAATAGTTGTGTTGAGTTGTCTACAGTTTAAAGCTGCCTTTTGGTGCAATCAATGATGTTGAAGGCACATTGAATCTTATTTTAAAGTTGAAACTAAAGAATAAAAGCTTTATTCAAGAGAGAGCTTGAAGTGTTCTTCAAAGACTAGCAACACTAAAGTTTTCCAAACAAAGCAGGGGAAGATTATCTGAAGGCTTCAGAAGATGTTTCCTTTAAAAAACTTAAGGGGAAGATTGTTAGGTCTAGATTAGCCCCAACTATGTGGTTGGTGACTCTAATAACTCTTATGAACAGGTTGTTAAGAGAGAAGATGTTGACGGAACTGATGGTGAGGGTGATGATGATGATGGTGATCTAGAACTCCAGGGTGTTACTGATTTTATTTCATTGATGACCAAAATATATAGGATGTACACAAGAGGTGGTGGATTCAAACCCAATGGGAGTTCTGATCCCTTTATGAAGAAACAAGATATGATCAAACCATATGTTGATGCTTCAAAGGAAAAAGCTAAAGCCATCTGCAACAACTACCAGAAGTCTAGACACTTCGCATCTGAATGCGGATCAAAGCCTGTAAAAAAACAATATGTTTACTACAAGGCTAGCTAAATATCTTGAGATCGTTGGCAAACGCAATAAGGCTAGAGGCTTTGTTGTTAAAGAAGCTGATTGGCTGACTTATCATCTGATGAAGAAGTGCATGTAGTAGCTAACTTCTGTTTAATGGCTTCCATAACAGAGGATGCACCTGATGGAATTGTCACCACATTCAGCAGTAGAAAATCATCCACTAATCAAGTGGATTAGGTATTTAACTTTGAAAATCCTCTATTCCCTGCTGACACAATTAGGAAAACTCTTTCCATGATGTTCAGTGATCTGTTTCTTTCTTTGGAGAAGGTGAAATCCTTGGAAGCTGAATGGAAACTACAATGTGTTAATGACTTCCTAAACAGGGAAACTACAGACCAGACCCTTCCAAAGTTGAGTCAAATAGTCTCTCTGTTTATTCTGAGTCTAAATATAGTATATACATCTGAAAATGTATTAATCACTCCAACTGAAAAAGAAGTCTCTATCAGCTGTGTTTAAGCAAATGATAAACCTTCAGATGTTCCACCAACTGTTGCAGCATATATAGAGAGATTCCTTCAAAACCATCAGATGTTAAGACTTCAAAGAATAACGACTCTTCTAAGCTTAACCAAACAAGACCAACAACAAAATATTACACATTGATACAAGAGGTTATCCCATCTGAATTTTAAAACCATTGATGCTCGTGAAAAGGGAGGATTGGTGACTGAATTACCTCAACTCTCTTTTGATAACGGGCTCAGGTCGGGCCCGAGCCACGCCTAACATTATTTTTTTGTCCAATGGGTCTAGTATAGCAAACTCAAGCTCGTTTTTACGGGCTTATGGACTTGTCTGTACCCGCCTTATAAATGGGTGAGGATTGTCCACTGGTTAACAGGCTTAGGTGGCGTTTGGTTCGCATATTCTGGAGGAATCTGAAGGAATTGGAATGTTGAATTCCTTTGACCAGATTCATTTTCTTCATTTGGTTCATTCTTTTTAACAAAAGGAATCTTCAGATTCCTATGAATTCCATGGATAAAAGATTTTAACATTCCTTAGCAACTACATGGTATTTTGATGGAATAGAATCTCTATCTTCATTATACCAAATATGCCCTTAATCTAATATACATTAATCTCATAAAACTCAATATGACCATCGTTGACCACCTTTCAACCACTATTGATCTGAACCACCACCGACTACCACCGATCTGAACCACCGCCGACCACCACCACCGATCTGAACCACCGCCGACCACCACCACCGATGTGAACCACCACCGACCACCACCACCGACTACCACCGGTCTGAACCATGGTCGACCACCACCACCGACTACCACCGATCTGAACCACCGTCGACCACCACCACCGTCGACTACCACCGATCTGAACCACCGCCGACCATCATTGATCTGAACCACCGCCGACCACCACCACCACCACCGATCTAAACCACCGTCGATCTGAGCCACCACTGATCTGATTCACCTTCAATCTGAACCACCGCCGATCTGAACCACATCTGACCATCGTCACCTGAACCACAACAGACCACCATCGATCTATATCACTGCCAACCACCGGCAATTACCATTGATCTGAATCACCGTCGGACACCGCCGACCACCACCGATTTGAACAACCACCGCCACCACCGCCTATTTGAACCACCGCTGACCACCTCCATCTAAACCATTACGGACCACCATCGATCTGAATCACTGCGGATCACCACTATCTGAACCACTGTGGACCACCGCCGACCACTATCGATTTAGTAACGTCGTTTGGCTTATGATTATATTTGGGTTATGTATTTTATATTGTTTTACATATTAAATAATTATTTTATTAAAGTACTTTTAGTTTTAAAAAAATTAAAATTTTCAAAAAAGGGCATTTTGGTCATTTACCAAAATTTTATCCCAATTCTAAAGCTATATTTTGTGAACCAAACAAAAAGATTCCAATTCATTTCCAATGTTTGCCAACCAAACAGGTGGTCAAACCTGACAACATTCCATTCCAATTCCTTCAAAGTCAATTCCTTTAACAGATTCCATTACATCCAAAAACATTTTGCGAACCAAACGCCACGTTATTCTTTTTAAATTTGAAAAACAAAACTTATATTAAGTCATTAATTATATAAAATCATTCAAATTACATATCATATGAAAAAAATAGTTTCACTATGGAGTAGGAACATTTCCTCTACAATGATTTATCAACTCTCAAGAGTTTCTTCAATAGTAGAATATTTGTCATTTAATCTATACTACTTTATAAAGCAAATTTCATAAAAGTCTTAAAAACAACTTTCACTGTATAAGTTACTACCTTTTAAAGCACAAAGACTTAAAGTCTTAAAAACAAATCCTAATGCACATGTTACTACAAATTTATGCATGAAGTCTTAGATCATGAATGTATACTCTCCCTAAGCAATGTCGGCTCCCTAAGCAATGTCGGCTCCCAAGAAATTGATTCCGCCTCCCAAAACGCCGATTCCTTCTCCCAAGGCAACGATGTCGTTTATTCTTTTCAATTTCAAACAACTTGAACCAGATCCATGTTTTAGAAGAGGCGATTCACGTTTTCTCATCACGGCTTATCAAGGTATTGATTCGTTCTCGATCTCTACTTCTCTATTGGAATGATTACAATGTTAGGGTTTTCTACATTCTTCTTCCGATTTGATTATCCATCGCTCCATCTCAGGTAAAGGTTTTATGATTAGAACGTTAGGGTTCTCTACATTCTTCTCTGGATTTGATTATCCATCGTATGTTCCTAAATTGATTTCCCAGGATCCCTGTTTTTATCCTTGCTTTGTAGTTATGTTTTCTCATTGTATTTGATTTTAGATTAACTTTTATAGATTGTTTCTTCTTGATGGAATCTCTTTGCAATGTAAATGTTTTGAACTTAGAATATGTTGTGAAGATTTGTGATTTTTTTCTGGTGTATATTTTATTATCTTGGGATTTGGGTTTGAAGACCTGTATGAAAAATTATTCAACATTGTAAGGGATTTGGGTTTCAATACCTTTTTGAAACAATTCTTCAACATTCTTTTATTTGATGTTCCAATATCAAGACAAAGTTGCAAATCTACATATTTTTTGTTTTAGTTAGGGTTTGCAATTGGCTGCTTATCAATTCATAGGGAATCTTAACCATGGAGAAGGTTGGGCTAATTCTAAGGTCTGACTATTGGTTGTGAAGCCACATGTTTCTCTCAATTGCTTGCAAAGTTAGAGTTTAGGGTGATGTTGTTAGGGAGACGGTTGGAGGATGACAATCTTCATCTTATCATCTTGGATTTGATGTTGCCGAAGGTCTTTTTTTTCTCTTACACTTGGACAGATCAATCTTGATATGTATATCATTCTTTTTTCATCTTTATTGATTATTCTTTCTATAAACAATTTATTGCATATTTATACTACCTTACAAACCTTAATCTTATCTTTCTTTGTTGGGTTGATTTAGGATCTGATGCATTATCAAGATGGAGATGTGATCGACTCAAATAAGGTTTGTGATTCACCATTTTTAATACACGAACATGCTTATTACATCAACTCTAAGTCACATGTTAATGTTTTTATTCATGCCTACACAAACATGCATCAAGGCTCAAGTTAATCTTTAATTTTCAGTGACCGACTCTTTGAACATGTGTATTGGGCTTTTGGTTGCAAATTGACCATTTTTTTTTATTAATCTTTTAGCAGAGCTGTTCGATGACGTTCAGATGACGTTCTTCTTGTTACAGTCATGACCTAATAATGTCTTAATGTATGAACTCCAGTGGAATTCGTGCTTTTTGCAGGCTTAATTCACTGTCTTATGCCATTCAGATGACATTCTTCTGGTTACACATGAATAACTTGGGTTTTAAGCGATTGTTGTTTATCCAGAATGCCAAAAGCTTTACAAGCATGACCCTAATCATGGCTTAATAAGATAGCGGGTTGAAGAAGGATAAGCACTATTTATGTAATTCATATTTACACACAGTCCACTCACTGATTAGATTTCAACCACCATTGAAAACAGTTGAGGATAATTGTATAATCCTGAAGGTGGTCCTTTATGTCAAAGCCTTTGATCAATTAAAGATATGGTATTGGGTTGATCATAAAACTTGAAGTTTTGCGAAAACAAGATAAATACAGCCATGGGTTGCTCATCTCATTTTGCACTTTTGGGGCTCTAATGCACTTTCCGATAACATTTAGTGTTGTAAGTTAACAATTATAGTTGTTTTGTTATATAGCTACAGTAACAATGCTTCTACTTCAAAAATTATAAAGGTCTGTCTTTGTGTGCGTATTTTTGCTGCTTGTTTCCGGTGATCCCTTTTATGCATAAGATCATTAGTATACAGTATACCGGGTTCCCTCAATTAAGTCCAAATACCCAAGCTTGACAAATACATTATGTTTCCATTGCCTTCTTATCATTAAAATAGCCAAAATCTGTTAGAGAACAATATGAATGATTTTTCTTATTTTTTTCCCTCTGCAATCAGTTTGCTCAGATTCTGGTGACTTTTAGGTCTTAGGTGAACAAGAGGAGATATGAGGTAAAACTCGTTGATACACATGCCTTTTAAGATAATAATACATCTTTTCTTGTAATGATGTTTTCTTGGTCTTTATTTTCACGTGAAGATTGTTCGCTAGATAGAACTATAGATGAGACAAAATATGTTGATGACTACTGGTTCACCTCAACATTTTTCCTTGCATTACCCGTACAAAGTTCTTGCATACAAACAGACAATCCAAGTGATAAGATAGACCATTTGTTATTTCCTTGACTCTCACATCTATTGGAATGTATTTGAAGTTCTTAGTGGTCTTTGGATTAGACTTTGCTAAGGTAAGTGGCTTTGGCTTAATTGGAGGGGGGATAGCAATAGAGGTGACTTATTATAATTAGACTGCTTGTAAAGGACTAAAGGTTTTGGTGAAAATACAATGGGCTTATTCTATTTTGGATCTGCATTAATAATCTTAGAGATCCTTCTTGCAACCTTGCAATTTTTTTAGTCCGTGCTACTGAAGTGGGTTTAAAAGCCTTTACAAATGGCTTAACAGTCGACTTAAAACACACTCCACCTTTTTAGTCATGTGATTTTAACCAGAAAGACTATTGCCTATTGGTTTTCAGGTTTGCCCTTGAAAGTTTTATATCATTTGTAAAATTTATGGTATATTTGAATTGTTTTTGGTAATAATGTTCATTTTGCATCTGCTTGATTTTGTAAAATCTAGCTTTATACTCGGTTAAGCTAATATAAATATGTGGTTTACATTTTTTGATATTGTTTCAGGACTCTTAAGAAATTGTATAATGTGGATCCAAATGACATGTTCTCGATTTATGGGATGAGGATCTTCGGGAGCTCTCCTCTCCTGGAAAAATGGCTACTTCTTCTACATGTGAATGATGGTAGGTTAATAACAAAGACAATGAAGAAGGCATAAGTAATTAGTCTTCAAAAAAGTATATTGAGAAGTAATTAAATATAATAGGGTTGAAGTAAGTCTGATTTCGAGTTGGGTTTTGAAAGATGTATGTGAGTGTAAAATTAGGTCTCATTCGAAAGAGTACTCAATATATTGGATAGATACATTCTTTCTGTAAAATAGGTTCTGTGTGTAAATTTGTAATTTTTTTTTATAAAATAGGTTGTGTATAATTTTGGATGGACTCATTCTTATGTTACCCAAAAGGTTTATTTAAAACATCGATTTGTTCTAAAAAAAAGTTTGTTATTATAGACTTTCCATATGAAGGTTTGTTTTATTTTTAAAGGATGATTGAAAAAGCTACCAACAACACCATTGATGTGTTGGATGGATGGTTATTTGAATCTAACATAGGTATAGATGTAGTAGACTTTATAACATCTTGAAAAGATTTGATATTTTGAAATTGAATAAATTATAGTAAACATTTTATATTCCGCCGCATTGCGCGGGTACACAACTAGTATTTCAAGATTGAGATTCGAGGTGTATCATATACCATATTACACATTATATATATTTGGGTGACGTTTGGTACTTAGTAGAGAGAATCTAACCGAAAGCCACTTCTAGATATTTTTAATAAAAAAAACAGTAATTTATTAATTATATATAAAACTTAATCAACTATAATAATATAACGGGCTGAGTGGGCTTATATGTATTCTTTTTTGGACAAAATGCACAAAATAGCAATCTACTTTCATAAATTTCTTTATTATAGCATTGTACTTTCAGTTTTTCTTATTACAGCAGTGTACTTTCAAACTATTTTTTATTAGAACATTGTACTTTGAAAAATTTACCCATTATAGCAATGGGTAACCTTTTGATTTAAATTTACCCATTATACTAGGTTTTCATGTCACCTCATTGTCCACGTAGGTTGTCCACATGTACTATAGTGATGTGACTTTCTTACTACATCATTGTACTTTCAAAATTATTT